AGACAAGGGGTGACAGCTTGCAGGAGGCCTCAACTGTCCTTCCAGCCTCTGTCACTGTTCCTGCCCAGGGCCTCTCTCTCCAGCCCCCTCTGAGATCAGCACATGTTCCAGGCAAGAAGTCTGACACCCCGCGGGCTTCCAGGAGAGGGAGAGGTCTGAGCAGCGGAACTAAGGTTGGAGGGTGGAGGGCAGCGGGGTCACCAAGGAAGCTGGGGCTGCCTCGTGCAGGTCCCGAATGCCAGGCTAAGGGGTTGAAACCATCTCCTGTGGGCAATAGGGAGCCACTGAAGGTTTCTGAGTAAAAGCAGCAAAGTGATCTGCTAAGGAAACGCAAGATGGATTGGCGGGGGCACGGGGAGTCCAGCTGGGAGAGACCAAAGGAAAAAGAGCTGGTCTATGGGATAGCAGAGCAGGAGGCAGAGAAGGAAAAGCTACAGAAGAAAATCTGGAAAACTCAGTACCTGCACTGGAAAGCAGAGAGGCGGTACACACACAGCCCAGCCCCTAGTGGCTGGCTGCATTTTCTTTGGGAAAGCCTTCCTAATTAAGGTGACTTTTGTCAGGTGGATGAGTAATTAAAAGAGCAGAACTTCTAAACTTTGAGGCCCTTAGCAGTCCTGGGTCAAAAATAATGGTCGGGTCCTTGGAGACAACGAATGCCAAGGTAACAGAGAAAGAGGCCTGCTTCACTGGAAGAATGCGTGGCCACAGCCTCCAGTAGCTACACCCACCTCTGCCCCCAGCTAGCGAGGACGAAACCTGTCGGACTTTTGTTTTCTTATCCGGAGGATGGGCACAGTGCTATCCCCAGTCTTCATGTTGTGGAGCCATTAACTGGGCTGATGAGCGCGGTGGGTGTTGACCACAGAGCCTGGCACAGAAGGACCACTTCGTAAATGGTAGTTTTCATTCATAACAGCCCGGCTGAGGCTTTTCTCAAAGCTTCTTCCTTCTCTCAGTGCTTCTCATGAGTCCCGTCTGATTTCAGATGAGTCTCTGCTCTCAGGATACCCCACGTGTCACTTTGTCCTGTCCCGTCAGCCAGTCCTGAATTCCCGTGAGGATCCCACAAGGGCCATTTGAACTGCAGGCACTCACGGTTCCACGGGACTCTCCCCGGTGCCCTTTCTGAGGTCACCGTTCCCACAAGGGCCTTTGGATTCACAGCTTTGCCTGCCTGTGAATTTCTCTCCCTTTCTCCTGGCCGGTGATAGTGAAGGTGGGTATTTCTCCTGAAACTGGATTGAGGGAGTTGTGTACTTTTGTCTGTAATAAAACCCAGCCATTTTGTTGGTCCAACACAGCCAAGTTTTTAAGACGATGGCTTTGCCAAAAGCCATGATATAAAAGGGACTTATTAACACTCCCTCCAGTTAGCAGACAGCTCTGAATGCAGCGCCCTAAAGTGTCCTACGTGCTCTTCTTATCACGTTGTCTGATTCTTCCCGGCATTAACGAGGTGATGCCAATGTTTAGCTGAGAATGGAGGGGTCTAACCTTGGGTGCCTCTGGGATGGAGGGAGCCCCAAATGAGGAGAGGTTTGGGGGCATCTGGGGTCCAAGGAGGCCAAGGGAATACACTGAAGAAGAGTGCCTCCATGGAAGTGGACCACGGCCCAGGGCTGAGACCTACAAGTTCTTGGAATGTGCCTGATGGAGAAAGTGAGGATGGGTCGGTATTAGGGTTTCTTCTTTTTGCCAAGAATGGAAATGGAACAGAGCATCAAAGTCCACTCAAAGCCTGGTGGCAAATTCCTGGCAGAGAACTGATCCATCCCCATGACTTCAGAAGTCCAGGGGACTTTGCTGTGGGGGAGGAGTCTGCCACCTCAGCCTATGCATTAGGATTTGCATGTGTTCCTGGAGTTACGGAATGTGGATGAAGACAGGTGCACCATTTGCGGCCTCGTTGTTTGCCTGTGCGTCAATGGCTGGAGGACTCTGTCTTAGGAATGCAGAAAGGGTTAGGGAGCATGGTGACACATGGGGGAGGCAAGAAGCCTCGCCAGGGAAGTCACAGAATTTACGGAGGGAGGCGACTGTCGAGGATGCTTCATTCTGTTTTTATCAGCTCAGCATTCATTTCAACCTTCACTGGGAAACACAACTCATTTTTTTTCACCCTGGGAGAAAATTGTCCCTTTCTATTCTTAAACCATTAGGTTTGAGTCAGTTCATATTACTCCCTGATCCAGGGTAAGCACGTGAGTCAGACCTGGCCAATCAGAGCGCTCCACTCCCCCTCGGCCATGGTGAATGGTCCAGGGATGGGACAGATGACCCAAGCCCATCTACTGATGCTGAATTCAGAGATTTTTCTTGATACTATTGTGAATGAGGAACTTTTTTTCCTACTAACACTTAAGTCTGGAATTATTAGCAATCAGCTCTCTTTCAGAAGCACGAGTTCCTGTACAATTCTTCTGGAAGAAATTTGTAAGTCCTGCCAGCTCGTGACTGTCCCTTTTTGTTAATTGTTTCTGCCACACTCAAATTGATTGCTGTTCAAAATGCTCTGACCAGTACCCGGGGATGCTGGATGTGTGAAATTGGTAAGCAGGCCATCTTGGAGAGGCAGGCAGCTGTAGGGGACTCAACATCATCCAATCCCCAAACCGGAGCTGTGAGCTCACGACCAACTAAGTCAGGTGCACAAAGCTCTCTGGCACCATCACGTTACCTGCCTATTAGTTTTGGCATCTTTTTTTCTTGTCCAACAATGAATTGATTTTCTCTAAGATAGAAAAAAAAGATAGAAAAAAATTGATTTTCTCTAAGATGTGGTGACATCCTGCCTACCTTTTTCTTGCCTACTCATTGATATTTTGCATGTGAAGACCCAGGCTCTGGGAGTGCCTGAGAGGTGCTGTTACTGCAGTTGGTGGAGTCCTTGCAGAGGGTCTGCAGGGAGCTATCTGAGCTCTTCCCTACAAAGGACCAATTTGTGAAAAGAGCTTAAAGACGCAAGGATGCAGATGCCTCCACAGAGCAGGGCATGATGAATAGAGCAGCCCCGTCAGTTCCAGTCCCTACTGGCTTCCACGCAGGCATGCTAAGGGAAAGCCAGTTACGTGATTCCGCAACGAAAACCATGGCGTTCATTGACTTCCATCGCATAACAGAACTGCAAAGTTTGTGGGGTAGACCTGGCCTCCTCCGTGACTTAAACGTCTGTCTTTCTCTCCCTTGTCTCTGCTCTGCTTTTCCCAGTGTTGTCTTCGTCCTCAGCGTAAGCCCCACATTCACATCTTTCTCGTGGCCATAGCAGTCCCAGGCCGAGTTATGGCCCTCTTTCACCCTCATCTGGCTTAATCTCTGAAACAAATTCTGATTGCCAACTTGGGTCACAGGCCCTCCCCAATCTGGCCCTAGGGATTGAGCATGGAGTATTCTGACTGTCCAGACACCCTGGAGGAAGTAGGTGTGGCCCCCTGAGTGACAGTCCTATCAAAATCAGGTGGGGTCAGTGCTGTTAATTTACAAAAGGAAGGGAAGCAAGGCATACCCCAAAGTAATTGAGATCTTCCGTATTCGTGGTATAAATTTCTTTTCACAGGCCAGCTCCATCAGATTGATGTTAGCCGCCCACAGTTAGTGGAGTAGAAGGCAGGGTCTGCCATGGGCCCATAGTTAGTGGAGTAGAAGGCTACCGTTGATCAGCAGGGTCTGCCATGGGCGTAGGACGTGGATGCTGTGGACACATGCTCTGTTTTTTGCTGCCTCTGAACTTCTAGGGCATGAGAGGCTGGGAAGTTCACATTGATTTACTTTGGAGGGAAGTTCCTAATCCCACATCAGAGTTGCTGATGCAGAAATCCCAAGGCACATCATTAACTTGCTCCCAGCCTCTCTCCCCTATCCCATTTCCCTGCTTCACAGGAGCGTTTCCTCCCTGTTAAGGGCCTCTGCTTGGGCTGGGGGAGGAAGCCGGATACCCTAGCTGAGGACCCTCCTCTTCCCCTAGTGCCAAACAGAGGTCCTCAAATATTCTCATTCTTGGGAGGAGGGGCTGTCCTGGGGCCAGGCTTTTCCATCCTGGATGGAGAGGAAAAAGACAGGAGAAGAGAAGAGATGAAAGAGAAGAGATGAAAGAGAAGAGAATAGAGTTCTGTAGCAAACTGGACGCTTTACTCTGAGCTGATTCTTCTCTCCTAGTCAACAGCATCCTGGCTGGTGAAGGGAAAAGGGCAGTGACCAGGACACCTGGGGTTGAAAGCCATCCCTGACTCAATGAGTGGAGGCCCTCGGCACCTTCTCTGGGCCCAGTGACCCCATTCCTGAAACAAGGGGTCAGTACTTTACAGCCTTCTCCAGCCCAGACTTTCTGGAGTTTGATGACAGCAGTAGCTCTTTTTTCCTTCTCATAATGGTTTCTCACACAGGGCCGGGGAAGTGGTTCCTTCTAGTCACAGACACAGATGCAATCCCATACAGATTTTTTAAAGTTTGTTTATTATTATTCAAAAAACCTTTTTTTTAATATTTTGTCTGCACTACTCGGCTTGCAGGATCTCAGTTCCCTGACCAGAATTGGACCCTGACCATAGCAGTGATAGTGCCGAATCCTAACCACTAGACCACCAGGCAACGCCCCCAATTTTTTTTTTCAATAACAAAGAGAACTTGGACCCACGTGGTCCTGCTATATTTGACCTCCATTTGCTTCACTCTCATAGGGCGATGGTTTAACTGACCCCCAGTCCATTTTCAGTGACCATGAAACATGAGTCCAAATGCCAACTGTGCCTTACTGTATTACTTTTTTTCTCTTTTGCTGGTGACCTTGGGCAAATCACTTTGCTTCTCTGAACATGATATCCTTCCTCCGTAAAGTGGGGATGTCCACTTTTTGGGCTGGTGAGATATTCAAATATTTAATAAGGGTTTTGAACATGATAAAGAATCGTACAGGAGACAGGGATGAGCTGTTATTAAACTCTCACTCAAAACTGGCCTAAGAATGGGCCAGAAATTCCTTCAGGCCTGTTTGTACTGTGCCTTGCACGTAGCAGACACGTGGCAAATATCTGTTGAATGATTGGAATCCCAGGGGCTGTTTGAGCTGCGGTGGATCCCCACATAGCACTCGGGCTGTGCTACTTCACGTCCCCACTGCGGATCTCTGATAGGACAGCTGGGAGGGTGGGTTGTGGGCCTGGAGCAGGGCTGTCTGGTACCTGCTTCGTGCCAAGTCCACTTACTCGCCTGAGATGGGGCATCTGTCAGCCAAGGTAGGAAGATAGATTTCTAACAGCTGGTGGAGGGTGGGGGTGGGAGGGGGCTTGTGTTTTTCTGATCGTGTTGTAGCTGTTTTGGGAATAAATTACTGTGGCTTTATAGCCCTTACAGGAGTTTCTGGAAAATCTAATTGGATGAGTCCCAAAAACTGAATTCTTTTTCGAGTTTCCAACTCCCTCAGATCCTCATTTGGAAGGAAAATGGGGTCAGCCTCTTTGCCTTTGACAGACACCCAATCACCCTCCTAATGGCGTCACCTCTCCTTGATCTTGGAAGTCTCTTTTTTCCCAAAGGACTCCAAGAACATGGCTGAGCCACTCAGACACACAGCCACTCCCCGAGGGTAAAGAGGCAGCTTTGGAAGCCTTGCCACCTCCTTGGTCAAGCGATCAAGCCAATCAGGACAGAGCTGGGGGGTGGGGCGGGGCGCGGGAGAAGCCGCCTTCCCGCCCAGGCTCCTTGCCCTGTCCTCTGTGCCTCTCTCCTAAGAAATGGGCATTGACATCCAGAGAATGCTTTTACACCGATGTAGGTGCACACGGCTTAACAAGCACTGGCGATGCTCTACTGTCAATTAAATTAAACACTCAGCCCCCCCCCACCCCAGCCCACATCTTAGAAAAATGCTCTGTGTAGCCAAACATCTGTAGCCCAGGATATGTGATCTCCCTCTGTTTTGTTTTGCTCCAGACAAAATGGTGGAAAAGCTGAAATTTATGCCTTTGGAATCTGAGGCATTAACTGTTGTAAATCAGCATTTGGTGCCCAAAGGTAGCAATTACTGCTCTCATTAATAGATTTTCCCCAGCCTCCATCATAAAACAACTCTGGAAATGTCTCCAGGAACAGGGTGGGGGAAGCGTGCCTGGGGATCACTAACAGTCAAGCACCCTGGGCACAGAGGGAGGCCGCATTCCTCTCCCCAGGGCCAGCCCAGGGGACGTGAGAGAAAGTGCACACACACAGGGTCCCCCAGACAGGGCGGGGGGGGGGGCTGCTGACATGAGGTGCAGGTCGAGCAGAAGCGCCACATCTGTGCAAGGCCTCCCAGGCAGGGGATCAGAAACACTGGGTCTTGAAGAGGAAAGGACTGAGGAGGCAGGACAGGCGGCCGAGGGAGGGAGGGAGGCGTGCGGGTTGGAGGACAGGGGGAAGGAAGGCTCGCATCTCTATGACTACAGGTGACTTTCTTCTTTTGGGAACGCCAGGGCTGGAGGGCATCTTGCCTTCAGTAACGACCTGGGCACAACGGGGCCCCTTGGCTTGCCCAGGGTCACCTGGCGAGTCAGTGTCTAACTCAGCCATGACCGTGAAGAAAAATGTAGACACCTGCCCAGTGTTGACCGTGGACCCTTTCTGTCTCTCTTTGGTTGGAACATAAACTGGATTTGTACCCAGGAAATAATTTCTTCTGTTCTGTAGATGGAAGCAGGGTGACAACGCTGAGGCCACACATGTGGCCCCTGGAAACGGTAGATGAAGACGCCTCGCTGGGCTGGAGGGATGGGCCGATCCCCCTCCGGGCAACCCTTTGTACCTGGGGATGGGTGTGAACGCGGGCAAAGAGAACAGAGAGTTCTCTCTGCTACTTGCTGATCCCCACCCTAGTTTTGTGTTATTTTTCTTTTCCGGTGGGATTCTGACATCTCTTTTTCTGGGATATTCGTTTGTAGAAAGAATCCATATGGGATTTGGATTCGACGGGGCCTGTGTAAGAATCCTAACTGCAGCCTTAGCTGATGAACAAGCTGTGAGGCCTCGTGAAAGAAAGTCTCAGAACCTCTTCCCTCCTTGTCTGCAACAGGCACCGTAGTTCCTCCATGAGACGGTGCTGTGAGGGTGGGTGCCCAGCTGTGTGCGCAGTGTGTGTGCCAGGCTTAGCAGCTAGCATGGGGTAGGTGTTCACAAAGTACTTCTGAGTGAATGGAAAAGAAAAGGTATCTACTGGTGTAGAACAAGAGCGGGGTATCCTACCCTTCTGGGTCAGTTTAATTCTCCCCCTTGCAATTTACTCAGATGCAAGAAACCAAAGGCTTCCTGGTACTCGGGCAAAGCTTGGCTCAGAGAAGCTGCCATGCTGTTCGGGGCGCACAGCCGAGCGCCCAGCAGGCGGTATGACTCCCGGCCCGGAACCTCGCCTCCAGCTCATAGCAACTCCACCAGGCTGATTGACAGAGAGCATTGCCCCTTGTTTGTTCATTTCTGTTATGGTAAAATATACATAATATAAAATTTACCATTTTCTCCATTTTTAGGTGGGCAGTTCAGTGAGATTAAGTACCTTCACATTGTTGTACAATCACCACCACCGTTCGTCTCCACATCTTTTGCATCAATCCTATCCTCGTGAAATAATAACTCCCCCTCTCCTTTCACCCAGCCTTGGTAACCTCTAATATTTCCTGTTTCTATGAATTTGACTGTTCTAGGTAAACTCATGTATGTGGAATCATAGAATACTTGTCCTTTTGTGTTTGGCTTATTTCACTTAGGATAATGTCTTCAGGGTTCGTCCGTGCTGTGGCATGTGTCAGAATTTCATTTTTTTTTTTTTTTTTTTGCGGTATGCGGGCCTCACTGTTGTGGCCTCTCCTGTTGTGGAGCACAGGCTCCGGACGCGCAGGCTCAGCGGCCATGGCTCACGGGCCCAGCCGCTCCGCGGCACGTGGGATCCTCCCAGACCGGGGCACGAACCCGTGTCCCCTGCATCGGCAGGCATACTCTCAACCACTGCGCCACCAGGGAAGCCCTCATTTGTTTTTAAGGCTGAATAATATTCCATTGTTTGTATGTACCACATTCTGCTTATCCATTTGTCCATCAATGATCATTTGCGTTGTTTCCACATTTTGGCTGTTGTGAATAATACCACCATGAACATGGGTATGCCGTATCTGTTTGAGTTCCTGCTTTCGGTTTTTTGCATACACACCTAGAAGTGGAATTACTGGATTTATGGTAATTCTACATTTCCTTTTTTGAGGGGCCACCATACTAACCCTTTTTAAAACTTTCCCAGTGGAAGGGCAGTGCTGCAGGGGTGGTGTCTGATGAGAATAGACGCTCTGGGCCTTTCCGAAGTTAGGGCTGGCGGCTGGCGGTCCTGGGACAGGGAGGACCCTGGAGCTGGCACAGGGCACCCCTTGGCAATTCAGCACTGCCCTTCACCAGCTGGGACCAGTTTTACACTAAGCCCTGGGAGAAAGGAAGCACTAGCTCTGTTCACCATGGATGGACAGAGATTGTTTTGCTTCTTATGATTAAACACCAGCTAAATCCCCCACCCCATGTATGCACACACCAACTCCAGATTTGGTTCAGAAAGGTGACTTAAGAAGTTTTAAGACGTTGTGATGAAATACATGGGCTTTGGTGCCAGTTCAAATTCTGGTTTACAACAAGGACCTACTATACAGCAGAGGGAACTATAGTCAATATCTTCTAATAACCTATGATGGAAAAGAATCTGAAAAAGAAAATATGTATATCATTATATATATATTATATATATATAACTGAACCTCTTTGCTCTATACCTGAAACAAACACAACATTGTAAATCAACTATACTTCAATTAAAAAAAAGAACAAAACCCCAAATTCTGGTTTAATCACTTGCTAGTTAGGGATCTTGGACAAATCATTGAACCTGAGAGCGTCAGGGTTCACATATAAAACTGGGGTCACAGGTTGTTGTGGCCTTAGAGGGACATTGGATGTGAGAAGCTGTGCACAGTCTTGGGCCAGAGGTAGCTCTGTCCAAGGACTGGGATTTTGTTCTCAGAGGCTGCTGACCACGCCATGACTGGAGGGGTTAGACGATGTCCGCGACTGGCCGCTCGGTTCTGTCTCACTTGCCTGCTCTGGAGGTGGAGGGTGCTTGAGCCCCGGGTGTTCCACATTCATTGCCGGGTCTCCCAGGTCCCGAGGCTGGCGCTGCCTGTGGGGAACGGCCCACGGTGGGGGGATTTATTATCTCTGGTGTCCGGTGCTTCACGGGTCATGTGACATGGCTAATCCTTAATTATACCTAATGTTAAAGGTCAGTCCACCTCTGGGATGTTTCCCAGCTTGAAGGTGCCTATGGAAAATTAGTTCATTCATAAAACACAGTGTCAGGTTACAGACCCAAATGGCTTCCCCCAGCCTCTGGTGGAGATGGGGTTGGTGGAGGCTGCTGAGAAACATCCCCAAGCTTGCCTCCTGACTCATCCGTTACCTCTAACAGGGTGTCAAATGAATGATTCCCTTCCAGAAAGATAGCAATCGTGCCCAGAGGAACGGTGAGTTCAAAGGGCTTCAGAAGCATCGAACAATCACTCAGATGGGCAGAGGTCAGCATGGGGGAAGATGAGGCCCAGGAAATTTCATGGTGGTTGTTCAGCTCCCCTGTTCCTCAGCAATTGTCCTCCCACCCCCATGGGTGCTATACTTTGTATGGTCAACGGAGACATTGCCAAGCTGCTGAGAAGTGCTGGGGCCCCGACTCCACCCTGGGCAGTGCCCCAGTGGGCCCAGAAATCATCACAAGTGCCTGCCCTCCAGGGCAGCTTTGCCGGGTCCAAGTTCTGCTTGCTCTAAAGATGACTTCCCATCAGTCCAAAATTTATTAAGTCATCCAGCAAATATTCATTGGGCACTCACTGTGCCAGGTACTGTTCTAGAACCTGGGAAGGGATTGCAGTGACCAAACAGACAAAACAAGAATGGCTACCCTCCCGGAGTGTCCATTCTAGTGGTGGGGGGAAAGACAGACAATGAACGAAATGTAGTAGTAAAAGGATAGCGTTATCTGATGGTGATAAGTGCTATGGAGAGAAAGAAAGCAGAGGAGGGAGAGAAGAAATACTAGCCTGGGTATGTGCTGCAAGTTTTGATAGGGTAGTCAGAGAAGGCCTTACTGTAAGTTGAGAGTGGAGCAAAAAAAGGAAGGAGGTGAGGCAGTAAGCCATGAAGAGATCTGAAAGGACAGCTGCTCCGGGCAGGGTGAAGAGCAAGCACAAAGGCCCTGAGGCAGTAGGATGCAGGTATGTTTGAAGAGTAGCAAGGAGGCTATGCGGCTGGAGCAGGGAGAGTCAGGGGAAGAGTAACAGAAGACGAGGTCAGGGAAAACAAAGACCATGCCTCGGTTTCTGTGCCTCTAGCCCTGTGCTCAGCGTTTCCTGGCCTTGACCATGGATGTAATATGCCGGCTATAATGTTTTAGAGTAGGGATCAGCAAACTACAACCCTTTGGCCAAATCCATCCAGCTGTTTTTGTAGATCAAGTTTGATGGGAACAAAGCTGTACCCATTCATTCACATATTGTCTATAGCTGTGTTCAAGCTAGCAGGTCAGAACTGAGTCATTGTGACAGTGACTGCATGAACTGAAAGCCTAAGATATTTCCTACCTGGTCCATGTTCTAGGTCACGGGCTTTGGAGTTGGACCACATTCGTTCAGATCTCTGCTCACTTATCGTCCAAGTGGCCCTGGGCAAGTTACTTAACTTCTCGGGGCTTTAACCTCCCATCCGTAAAATGCTGATAATATCTACCTTACAGAGTTTTCTGAGATTAGATAAAACAACTAATATGGAATGCATGCCCCTGATAAATCCAAATACTTTTTAAGGAGTCAGCAGAGGGTGCACAGTCCTGGACTCACAGGGGTAATATCTTAGCAAAAGTTTTCATTGGTCTCAGTTTTCATTAGCCTCAGTTTCTCTGTCTGTTAAGTGGGGATAATTATTTGTGAAACTGAAATGAGATAAGGTGTATGGCTTGGAGCAAGCACATATTAAATGGAAGTTGCTGCTTTTATTTTCAACAGCTTTACCTTCCATCGTCTCCTGTGTGGGGGGCCATCTGCAAATTCTCCAGGATCTGGGAGAAAAATCCAACATCTGTCTGTATATCCATGTGCTGCTGCCCTGCTACCGGCTCCTGGTACATACCTCAGCAGAAGGGAGTGAGTATTAAAAGGCCTCCCTTTCCCACATCTTGACATCCGGCCTAAACCCACTGCTACCTGAAAGAGCGCCAACCTGTTCAGCATGTTTGAATTTGCAGATAACCTCTTATTTATTCTTAGAGTATCCACACAGCTGAAGCTTGTCATGGGTTTTTATCATGTGGCAATAAGTACTGTTGGGGAAGGTCTATCTTCGCAAAGCCCAATTAGCGTATTCATTTATTAGGCTCTTTTATCGTCAGGTAAGAGTAATAGGAGGGTCACTGTAGGATTCTGCCTGCTGAAGCCGGTTTGAGCATTTGCCGATTTGCAGGGGTGGATGGCAAATGGTAAGAATTTGGGATGGGATGGCGGTCTGGACTTGGGAAATGTTGATTTTGTTGGAGGACTTTGTCACGCCGCCTGGCTGTGATGACAATCCACTTGAGTTACATTGCATTAAAAAAAAAAAGTGGCGAGAGTCCAGTGGTTGAAATGCAGACGCCCACAGTGTATTTATATTTGCAGTGCCTGGGCCATGTGTGCAGTGATACAGCGAACAAGAAAGTTGTGGAACTGAAAATAACATATGTCTGTCTCAAGTGCCAGAGGAAATTGTAGCACTGGCGAGAAGGGGAAGGGTCCAGATTTAGAGATGGGGAAAGAAATATGCTCCTTGTTCAACCGTGGTGTTTATACACAAGCCCTCATTTCTCCTCACACATAATGAACAGCTACAAAACTGACAGGAAAACAAATGCAAAACGGGGCAAGTTGATTGCTTCTTTGAGAGCTGGTTGGCGTAACGGAGTCCTGGATTGAAAATAAAGTTCAGGCAGATTGAACTCTGACCCCTCACCCCCTTGTTGCAGTTTTCTGAGTTCCTGGGATTTTGTTCATGAGAACGAAGCTGTGGATGCAGCTGAAACGGGTCGAGGTGGAGATGGTTAGAAAGGGATTCCTCCTTCACCACAAACCTCCTTGACTTAAAAATGATTAAAATAAAAACTCTCCAAAACAATTACTTTCCATCTCTTGAGAGCCAGAGGATTGTCTAGGGTTTTTCTGGACACAGGGACCCCGAAGATCATATTTCTCTTCTGGGTGGGGTGATATTTTTAAGGCTTGGTTACCAGCCTCCAACTCTTAATTCCATGTGTCTATATGTATAAATAGATGTGACTAAATTTAAAAAGAAATAATATTCACATCTTTGGGTTTTTTCCATCCTCACAAAAAAACAAGTAATGGTTTTGACTTCATTTTCCACATTTCTCTGCCGTTTTGACGTTAATCAGACACAGCCCAAGCCGAGGAACACATTTGGTCTTTGCAAACAAAAAATAGAATTGGCCTCTGACTCCTCTGGCTGGTTCTGTAACTCATTGCTCTCAGAGCACCCCTGGCAACCCAGAACCCCAGCTCAGACCTCAGATCCAGCTGCAAACCTCCTACCACGGCCCTTGGCTTGAAACTAGACCCTCAAGATTTTAACATACATGTTGGCCAAGCCACTTACGTCTAACTCCCCCTGCCTCAGTTTTTTCATCTGCAGAATGGATGTGATACTCTGACCACCTGTCAGGACCAGAAGAGGTTGGGAGGAGTTGGAGAAACACCCATGGTGGGTTTCGGAGTAGCTGCTGAAGTGAAATAGAGCCCGATGGCCACTCAGCTATTGTTTTCAGCTTCTTCCTCACCTTACTGGTTAAGTGTGGCCAACACCCAGTTTTCACGTCAGGCATGCTGGCCCCAGGGACCTGAGCCTGGGGGCTAAGCTATCACAGCCTGAACACCTCCTGCAGGCCAGCACCAGGTGCCTGGCCTTCGTTTGCTTGGTCACACCTCATGACAACTGCCAGAGAGGCATTGCTGGTTCCATTTCACAGACTGGGAGACTGATGAGCAACTGCTCCTTTCACACCAATCGAAACGTAATACTCCCAGCGGTTAAAAAAATATGTTACAACCAACCAAAGAAAATGTATGCAGCTGTCTGTGGAGGAGGATGGGGCAGGTGGGCAGAGAGCAGGGCATTTAGACTGGAATCTTGGGAGGAGAGCACCATATCCTTCCACCTCTTGTGTAGTGGATCTAATAGTATCACCCTTACCTCGAAAAAAAAAATCTGTTTCTACCCAGATGTCAGAATATGTCCTCCTTTGGAAATAGAATCTGAAGATGTGTAATTCATTAAGGATCTTGAGAGGAAATCATCCTGGATTTAGAATGAGCCCTAACTAAATCCAATCACTGGTGTCCTTCCAAGGAGAGGACAGGACACAGACACAGAGGGAAGAAAGGCCATGAAGACAGAGGCAGAGACTGGAGCCAGAGGACGCTGGGAGCCACGAGGAGCTCCCAGGCAAGGAAGGATGCTCCCCTAGCGCCTTTGAAGGGAGCATGACCCTGCTGACACCTCAGTTTTGGACTTCTGGCTTCCAGAACGGTGAGAGAATAAATTTCTGTTGTTTGAAGCCACCAAGATTGAGCAATTGGTTAGGGCACTCTTAACAAGCTAACACCTTCTGGCGAGCCGTTTACATTTGGTCACCAGAAATAAAGGCAGGCAGGAGCTAGTACTGAACACACACAAGGAAGGGCTAACTCTGTAAAGGGAAACATTAAATCTCTTTGGTAAAACAAAACAAAAGGCAGAAAGTCCCTTGTTCTTTCCTTGGAGCATGCCTTAGAGACAGAATCCCTGAGTCTGCGAGGAGTCCAGCAGTGTGAGGTGTGGGATCGGGGGAATGATGTAAGATGATATGATTTATGGCTTTGTTGAGCAATGTTTTCAGCTGTGGATCTTGCTTTCAAGCTTAAACTATTGCTGAAATAACAGGCAGGCCAAGGGACTTTTGAACACACACAGAATATCTCTGGTGACAGGAGAGCGAGCGTGGCTGATGTTTCTATGGGGAAGTCGGGAGGTAAGCGGTTTGAAGACTTGATTATGGAAACACTGCACAGGGTGACCAATAATTGAGTGACATTGGGGTATGGGGGATATTGAAGTAGGCTGGTGCAGTCTTATCTCCAAGGGGCTGATATGAGAAGTCCTTTACAACAGGACAGCAGTTGGGGGCGGGGGGGGGGGGCCTCTAACCCCAAACAGGTGAGCGGAAGTGCTGTAATTACCATTATTGTGGTAACTAGAGACCTGGGAAGGGTCAACACAAATGTGAGGCCAAATTTTGAAGAGGACAAATGATATGACAGATGAAGGAGGACCAGCCAAGAGCAAATCACAGCAGCTCAGCTGGGAGATGATGACAGCAGAAACAGGAATCTTGGCAATAGTCGTTGTTAAGTATCCTGCCATCCATGTGTGAGATACGCATGTGCATGTTGTATTTTTAAAAAGAGATTAAAGTATAATAATTAGGAGACTTTATTAATGCCTTTGGAGGAGTTAGAAATGATCATCTGTATCCAAAATGACACACAAATTTCTAACCTGGGGCTGAGGGTATTTCTGGGATGACTTAATCTCAGGAAACTGGCAATCTGTCACTGGGGGAGGGTGAAGACAGGCCTGCTAGGGAGGGGGGAGGGGTTAGTCCGGGAGAGGATGGGAGAGGGTTCTCTGGAGCGAAGGGCTTCATGGCTGGGTGTCCGCCCCACAGAGGAGAGACCACCTGCTCTCATCCATCTCTCTGTTGGAGTCCAGGGAGCTGGTCTTCCCACCAGGCTCTCAATCTGTGCTCAAATCACAGAGGTCAATAATTATTCAAGTTGATGAAAATGAAGACGTGATTTATAATGAGATAACGGCTCCCACATTTTGAAGGAGACAGTATAAGCCAGAGGCTCACAGCCTGCGCTCTGAAGTTTGAAGCTCGAGTTCAAATCCTGCCTCTAGCTGTATGAGGTCCACCTGTGTGAGGTCTCAGAGTAGTGGATGCCTCCGAAGTCATGAGATCAGCACATCGTATGTGAGTCTCACATTGCTGAACGTAAGAGGAGTGGGTTCTAGAACCACTAGTGGTTGTGTTCGCCGACGTCATCCCATTTCATCAGCACTACTGCACGGGGATGGGGTGGGTGTGTGTGTGTGGGGGGAGGTGTTCTTCCCCGAGTCATACACGAGGAAACTGAGGCTCGGAGGACTTGAGGACTCATTTGCCTGAGGTTCCTTGCCTGGCGCCTGGTGAGCTGCATCAGTGTAAGTCACAGTCCCTCTCGTGAGTGAGTGGCCTCACCATCCTAAAGGCACCGTGGAAGGTGGGTAGACCCATGTGGGTCCTCTGCTCCGCCACCTCCACTTTCTCTGTGCCTTGCCTCCTTGTCCCAGCCTTTCATCTTAATTACCATTGAGAATGGACCCTGTGGGAAGCTGCTCTGGGGCCCAGCGGCAGTCTCACCCAACAACGATGCTCCTCCTTAAGAAAAGACCATCTATATTCCACCTTCTGCAATGCCTTCCTGAAGTTCACAGGCATGGCCTGTCCCTGGGGAAATGGACACCACGGGGGTGGGGCAAGGTCAGCCGTTCTCAGGTCTGATGCACACATTCAAATCACCTGGGGCCACTTTCAAAGGGCCCCATGCCTGTACCCCACCTGAGCCCAGCTGCTGCTCTATCTGCCCAGGTGAGTCTGGTGTGCGGCCAGGCTTGAGAACTACCGCCAGGGCACACTTCTCCTTCTGGGTCACGGCCCTGCTGACGTTGTTTTACATTTTTTTTTTCTTTTTTGCGGTACGCGGGCCTCTCACTGCTGTGGCCTCTCCCGTTGCGGAGCACAGGCTCCGAACACGCAGGCTCAGAGGCCATGGCTCACGGGCCCAGCCGCTCCGCGGCATGTGGGATCTTCTCGGACCGGGGCACGAACCCGTGTCCCCTGCATCGGCAGGTGGACTCTCAACCACTGCGCCACCAGGGAAGCCCTGTTTTACATTTTAAAACGTCTCACCTTAGAGTAGATTCCACGTAGCTGGCGGAAGGCTCCAAGTCTCCGTTTGGTGGGTTGTTACCCGGTCACGTGAGGACCACTGGCACCTGCTAGGGCAGGGGTGGG